TAGGGGATAGTGTATAAGATATCACCCAGTGCTAATGTTTCTTTAAAGTGATACTAAACCCAAAAACATGGTTTACCTTAATACATTGCTTGCATTAAGGTGCAAAATGTTTGTAAGTTCCATGTTCTCCCCCTTCCCTGTGTGTGAGGAGGAAGAGAGGGAGGAAAAGATCAGCACTGTGCATGGCTGCATTTCTTCTCCCCTTCAAGTGCCATGAAGAGAAAGTGGGGGTGGGCAGGGCACACAGGTCGGGAGCTAGTACACAACATTTGTCCCCATAGCAAACAACTTGCTACGGGGACACAAAAAGAAGAGGAGGAGCCAGGATCGCTGGTGGGGGACCTTAGAAGAGGATTGGGGTTGCTCTGTGGAATACCACTGCACAGAGCAGGTGAGTATAACATGTTTGTTACTTTAATTTAAAAAAATGTTTGCCTTAAGTAACACTTGAATGTGTCCATTGTAATGTATTTATACATACACCACTTAGTCCTAGGTAATCTACAGCAAATGGGATACACACTTTGCCAATTGACCAATAGGCAGACCAATTAACCTATCAGCATGTCTTTTGAGTTTGGAAGGAAACCCACACAAGCTCAGAGTGAACATGCAAACTGAATGCAGATAGTATCCTGACAAGGATTTGAACAGAGAACCCCAGTGCAGCTAGGCAGAAGTGTTAACCCTCGTTGGCTGTGTTTAGCAATTTGAAGGCACATTGTAACCACAGCTTTTTTTTTTTTTAATTTTGGAAAGAGTGAGAGAGGGTTAAAAATCCTATCAGGTTTCTATTATTCCCTCCATTTGTCTGACACCCATCACCTAGACAGGGAGTTAGCGAAAATCTCCCATATTGGGACGCTGACAGCTAACAAAGGTTCCAACACGTCCTAACCCTTCTAAACCTGTGTCCCCACTGGGGAGATTCCTTCTTACTCTCTTACAGATGCCCAAGAGAACAGCTCTGCCCCCTCTATAAAACACACTTAACAGATCAGGGCAGTTTAGAGTAAGACCCCCCTCAGCTGGGTCATGCCTCCCTCGCTCTGAACAGACAAGCTGCAGGAGTGCTCCTGCTTCAGATGTCCAGCGCAACTGTCAGCACTAGTTGCTGCACTGCAAATGCTCTGAAAAGATTTTGACCCCCTTTTCCCCACTTATCTATGCCTCTAAGCTCTTTACTTCTCACTGCCATTTCAACTACCTTCTAATTGTCAGTATGCAAAATACAGGCATACCTCGGTTTACGAACACCTCAGTTAATGTAATTTTCGGTTTATGAATGAAAATCCACTGAAAATTATGGCTCTGTTTACAAATTTTTTTTGCAATACAAACGGATTAATTGGTTTTCAATGTATTTACACTTTTTTGCCTTTAATGTGCACTTCATAAAGAGTTTTGGACAGATGAAACTTTTTTTTACTTTTTTCTGACATCCGGAATGGATTAATTGGTTTTCAATGCATTTACAATTTTTTTTTAATCATGTCCCTGTACAGTATTTATGCCTTTAAAGTGCACTTTGTAAAAAGTTTTGAAAAGATAAAACTTTTTTTCTAATTTTTTCTGACCTCCGGAAAGGATTAATTGGTTTTCAATGCATTCCTATGGGAAGCCGCGTTTCGGTTTACAAATTTTTTTTCGCAATATGAAAAGTCCCACAGAACGAATTAAATTTGTAAACCGAGGTACACCTGTTATACATGCACTAAGCACCTAATAAAAAAAAAAATAAATATGCTGAATCCCATAAATCAAGACTCTATTCTGACACATTTAGTCAGTAACTTAGCTGAATCAGAGAGGAATGGAGACTGTGAGAACAAGGGAATATTTTTATTAACACACACCACTAACATAATGGCCATCAATATCTTATATGTACACCAGTAATTGTATCTTATGAAACAACCTGCATAATACAGAGTACACTGGTTTTACAGATCAGAGTTGGGAAAAATCAAAAGAGGTTCCTGCTTAGCATCAGCTTTGTATCTACACCTATTATGGAAAGAAGCCAGATCTTGATTTACAGTGAACAGCAAACAAGCCAACCTGTTGCCAGGTTTCTGACTCCTATTAGATACTTATTATGGTAATGTAGCCAAGACTGCATTGCAGAATTTAACAAAATATCTGTGTAATATTGAAAAATAAAGAGTCTTTTTATACCACACTATGGAGCAAAGAGTCACTTGAGAATCATTTGTCAGGTATAAAGTATGTTTATAAATGTCAGCAAGTTTATCCTTTAATCTACTAATATGATTGCTACTGGATTTATTGCATTTATTATGGGAGGGGCCTATGTCCTTGGCTGCAGTATAAACTAGAATACATACAATGAATATCTATAAAGTTAGAGCCATTGTTAAAGCGATGTATGCTGGGCCCACCTATAAAACCATTTATCACTGTCCACTGCTAAACTAAAAACAAAAATATGTAGTGTGAATATTATGTACACTTTGTACATAAAATTAATAGCTAGTCCATGTCAGACGGGCTGCTACAAAATCCAGTGTAGCCCTATGTTTTAGGTTTAGTGATTTGATTTTTCAATTCTGCCACAGGGCAGCAATAAATAAAAATTCCTTATTCAAGTCTTCTTCTTCAGTGGCATTTTCTTTTTTATTTAGATATCTGACCACAGTCCACAAATACTGTAGCTTTTCTCTTTATTGTGGTTAAAGTGTTACTAAACCCACAACAGAAAAATCAGTCAGTATATGCAGTAGAGCATGCTTGTTATACTCACTGTGGAACCTAAGGAGATAATTCTCTGCATTGTGTAAAAAGGCTGTATGATCCTTTCTTCTCTGCCCCTCCTCTTGGTATAATGACCACCCAGGGGCGGACTGACCATTTGGAAACTCGGGCACTGCCGAGGGCCCGGGGTCAGTAGGGGGCCCCATGAGATGCCCCTGATACCTTTTTCATATGCTTTTTTGATTTTGGGCAAGGACACAGGGGCCCCATGATCCCCTATTGCCTGGGGGCCCCATGAGTTGTCAGTCCTCCCCTGTGACCACCTGATACAGAATGAATCTGTAGTCACATGCACATGCTCTGTTTGGTTGTGTATTGCTAGAGAGGATTCTTTTTTTCTTTGGAGAGGGTATGTGATCAGCACAGGGCCAATCAGCACTGTCCAGACAGAGGTCAGGGGTTTCACATCCTCCCAGAGCAGAAAGGAAAACTCCTCCTACAAGCTTTAACTACTTCCAGACCGGACAATTTTACCCCCTTCCTGACCAGGGCAATTTTCAGCTTTCAACGCTATCACACTTTGAATGACAATTGCGCGGTCATGCAACACTGTACCCAAATGAATTTTTTTTACCATTTTTTTGAGACAGATAAGGCTTTATTTTGGTGGTATTTATTCACCGCTGGGATTTTTTTTTTGCTAGGTAAATGAAAAAGTCCAAAAATTTTTAAAAAAAGTGTGTTTTTTTTTTTTCATAAAATTTTGCAAATAAAAATAATATTTCGGCATAAATCTTGGCCAAAATTTATTTCGTTATCTTTCTGGTAAAAAAAAAAAAAGATCCAAATTAGTTTATAACCAAAAAGTATAATTTTTAAACTTTTTTTTTACTTTTTATATTATTTTTTTTTAATTTTAATTTTTTTTTTTACATACTGTCACCCTAGCAGTACAGTGTCACCATGGTGACACTGTACTATTTGTGGGGGGGTGATTTTTTTTTTTTTTTTCACTGATTGCTTTTACACCCATATAGGATGTAAAAGCAATCATTTCTCTTTCTCTCTGTGTGCATTCTTGCACTGATTGAGAAGTACTGAGTGAGCTGTGATTGGTCAGAGCTTGTCACATGGTACAAGGCTGTTGTGAATTGCTTTGTACCATGTGACCTCTGTGATCATTCACAGATTTCACACGTAGTAAGCAATGATGTCACAAGTGACATCTTGCTTACTACTTTGCATGTGATCACTGATTGGCCAATCAGTGATCACATGATCGGGACCTCATACAGAGGTCCCGTCCGACGATCGGTGTTTCACTGTGTCCGGAGGACACAGTGGGCACCAGATTGCGGTGCTGCGCGCGCCCACGGAGCGCGCACAAGCAGGGTGCGGGGAGGCCGTTTAAAAACGGCCACCCGATCCTGCAGTGCCACAGTCCGGCCGTTTATATGCAACGGCCGGTCGGGAAGTGGTTAACCAGTGTTCTGCTCTAACTGCTAATTAGAAAAAGTATTTAGCAGTTTATATTTACTAAAAAAATAATTGCATTTCCATGTTCTGTGTACTGTGGGAGAGCAGATATAGTGAGTGCAGGGTCCAGGGTTTAGTAACACTTTAAGCTAAACATTGAGTTTTTCTATTCCATATTTGCTTTGCAGTTACTTTAGTCCCACTTTAAAGTGTATGTGAACTCATACGATGTGAAATAACCCATTCCATTTAAAATAGATCAACTGTGATAAGGAAAATAAATATCACTCAAATGTGCATAATCTGCAACATCAGATGTTATTCACTATTTTTAAATAGTTGAATTAAAAAGTTGAATTGAATAAAAAGTTATTCACTATTTTTAATTGAATTCTTGAATTAACATCTCAATATAAACAGTCCATCAAGTGCAAACAACAATCATGTAGATCAGCTTCAAAGAAACTGCAGAACTTGTAGAGCAGGGGTGTCAAACTGGCGGCCTTCCAGCTGTTGCGAAACTACAAGTCCCATCATGCCTCTGCCTTTGGGAGTCATGCTTGTAACTGTCAATCTTGCAATGCCTCATGGGACTTGTAGTTTGGCAACAGCTGAAGGGCCACCAGTTTGACACCCGTGTTGTAGAGCAAATTCAGTTTTCATGTTGAAACTGAGCACTCCCATACAAATAAGCACTTAAAGTGTTGCTAAACCCACAACAATAAAATCAATCTGTATATTCAGGAAAGCATGCTTGTTATACTCACTGTAGAACCTCAGGGGTTAATCCTACACATTGTGTAAAAAGGATGTTTGATTCTGTCTTCTCTGATCCTCCCCTTCTTCTACTGTCCCCAATCCATCTGCTGATAGAACAGAGCCTTAAGGGCAAGGTGCGCATGCTCAGTTTTTTGGGGGGTGAGTGCATGTGATCAGCACAGAGCCAATCAAGCTGTCTAGACAGAGTGTCAGGGGTTATGCAGCCTCATAGGACAATCAGGGGAGAATGAAAACTCCTCCTGCAAGATTTAACCAGTGCTCTGATGGACACTGATAGAAGTCACAATACTGCTCTAACTCCTGATGAGAAAAGGTATTTAGCTGTTTATATTTATTAAACAAATTGCATTTCCATGTTCTGTGTACTGTGGGAGACCAGATATAGTGAATGCAGGGTCATGGGTTTAGTAACACTTTAATACAGCACATAGGACACAGGATTCACAGTGCATTACCTGTTTTGGGGGATTTTTTTGTTTTTTAAAGAGAGAGCACAATAGAAGCTGTTCAACTTTAAACTCTCTCTAATTGGAAATTCATACAGATCCAGAAGGAAATTCCATCACTTCTCTAATTTACATTTGTTTGTTAATTTCTGGCTTTTTTCAGCAAAGCAGAAACTATAGACTGGTAATAAGGTAGGCTTATGCATCCACCTGCTGGATGAAAATGAGAGTACAAGGATCCATTGGACTGATACATTGATCATCTGTAGGTAACATTTGGTCCCCAATCCACCTGCTGATAGAACAGAGCCTTAGGGGCAAGCTGCACATGCTCAGTATTTTTTGGGAGAGTGCATGTGATCAGCACAGGGCCAATCAAGCTGTCTAGACAGAGTGTCAGGGGTTATGCAGCCTCATAGGACAATCAGGGGAGAATGAAAACTCTTCCTGCAAGATTTAACCAGTGCTCTGATGAACACTTATAGAAGTCACAAGACTGCTCTAACCCCTGATGAGAAAGGTATTTAGCAGTTTATATTTACTAAAATAATTGCATTTCCATGTTCTGTGTACTGTGGGAGACCAGATATAGTGAATGCAGTGTCTTGGGTTTAGTAACACTTTAATACAGCACATAGGACACAGGATTCACAGTGCATTACATGTTTTGGGGGTTTATTTGGTTTTCAAAGAGAGAGCACAATAGAAGTTCAACTTTAAACTTTCTCCATTGGAAATCATACAGATCCAGAAGGGAATTGCATCACTTCTCTAATTTACTTGCTTTTTTCAGCAAAGCAGAGACTATAGACAAGTAATAAGGTAGGCCTATGCATCCACCTGCTGGATGAAAATGAGAGTACAAGGATCCATTGGACTGATACATTGATCATCTGTAGGTAACATTTGGAATGGTATCGTCAATGAAGTTTAACTGGCATAGTCAATAATCATATACAATTAGGTTCATTATTTTCCCATCAATTCAATGAAAAAGTGTCCTTCGTTTAGTTAACAATATATGTGTAGATCGGATCATCTGGAGAAGCTTCTAAATCTCATATTCCAATTACTAGATGTGCAGCAGATTATGTCATCCATGTTGCTAATGAAATATGACTAATGTGAATGCTGTGCATCTGTGCCATATGGACTTAAAGTACATGTGAACTCTTACCTTGTAAAACAACTCATTCAGTTAAAAATAGATATGAAAAGCAAAATGTACACTATACTGCCAAAAGTATTGGTCGGCCTGCCTTTACACGCACATGAACTTTAATGGCATCCCAGTCTTAGTTCTAAGGGTTCAAGAGGGGAAAAAACATCAAAAGGAGGACAGCAAAAAAAAAAAAGGAAATTAAATTATTCCATACTGTATCTAGAGTGCCTTAAAATACACTTTGTGGGAGATTTACCAAAACTGGTGCACTCAGAACCTGGTGGAGTTGTGCATGGTAGCCAATCAGCTTCTAACTTCAACTTGCTCAATTAAGCTTTGACAGTAAAACATGGAAGCTGATTGGTCACTGTGCAGAGATGCACCAGATTTTGGACCATACAGTTTTAGTAAATAACCCTTTTTAAACTGATACTAAACACACGCTGTTTAATTTACAGTGTGTGGTTGATGGCACTATAATTATTTTATTTAAAAAAATATATATATATATAAGTACCTTTTCCTAATTGATATGCAGCTGTCACATGACCCAGCTCTTTCCCAGCCTGTCTGCAGGGAAACATAAGCAGGAGGAGTTTCTAGTCCTCTGCTACTGGTCACATGTTCCAATTTTTAAAAAAGTCATTGAAATACTGAGTAAAAATAAATAAATAATATCAATAAAACTGTTTTAACCACATGCCGCCCAGCCACAGTAGAAATACGTTGGCAGGGCGGTACGGCTGGCCAAAACCACGTTTTAAAATGTGTGTTTTCAAAACAGGTAGGGGGCGCGCGCGAGGCACGCCACCGCCCTACCTGTCCCGCCAATCACGGCCGCGGATGTCAGTCGCCGGGTCACAGCCGTTACCAGTTGTGTCCCGGCGATTAGCGGCAATCACTGACAGAGAGCAGGGCTGCAGTAGCTCTGCTCTCTGTCAGTTCCCTGACAGCTCCTGACAGGCTGATTGGGAGAGAAGAGTTTATCTCTCCTGATCAGCATTTCCCTGTGCAGTGCACACCCCCGCCCCCTAGTAAAACATTCCCCTCACACAGTTAACCCTTTCACTGCATAATAAAGTTAACCCCTTCCTCCCCAGTGCCATTAGTACAGTGTCAGTGTTTTTTTTTTTTTGCACTGATCACTGTATTAGTATCACTGGGGATGTCAGTGACCCCAAGTCAGTTCCCCCCAGTGTCAGAATGTCCGCCGCAGTCCCACCATAAGTCGCTGATCGCCGCCATAAGTCACTGATCACCGCCATATGTCGCTGATCGCCACCATTATTAGTATAAAACAAAATCCCAGAATCTTTCCTGCCATTTGTAAACGCTATAACTTTCACGTAAACCAATTAATTTACACGTATTGGGTTTTTTTTTTAGCAAAGACATGTCTCAGAATGCATTTTGGCAGAAATTTGATTTTTAATTTTTTTTTTTTACTGGACATGTTTTATAGCAAAAAGTCCAAAATATAGTTTTTTTTCCTCAAAATTGTCAGTCTTTTTTTTATAGCGCAAAAAATAAAAACACACAGGCGATCATATATACCGAAAGAAAGCTCAATTTGTGGGAAAAAAAGAATGTAAATTTCATTTATTGCATGACCGCACAATTGTCCGTTAAACTAGCGCAGCGCTGTATAGCAAAAAAATGGTGTAAATTGCAGTATCTATACCATAGTTTGTAGACGTTATAATTTTCACACAAAGCAATCAATATACACTTATTGGGAATTTTTTTTACCAAAAACATGTAGCAGAATACATTTTGGCCTAAATTTATAACTAACTTTGAGTTTACTATATATTTTTTATAGCTGAAAGTAAAAAAATATAGTTTTTCTTCAAAATTTTTGGTCTTTTTTTTGGTTTATAGCGTGAAAAATAAAAAGCGCACAGGTGATCAAATACCACCGAAAGAAAGCTCTATTTGTGTGCAAAAAAGGGCATACATTTTATTTGGGTGCAGCATTGCATGACCACGCAATTATCAGTTGAATTAGTGCAGCGCCGAGTAGCAAAAAGAGGCCTGGGGTAAATCCTCAGGAGGGCAAGTGGTTAAATTGGCAAAGAAATATATATTTGAAATCAAATCTTTATTATTTTGTGGAAATAACATGGTGTGGGTGAATCTTCGCCAGTCACAGGCTGTGTCACACTCCTCCAGCCTGTTTCTTAAAATAAACGGGAGTTGTTGCCTCCATTAATCTACATGTAACATCCCACCCCCATTGTGTTTAGCTGGTTAGTGGGCATGGAGGAGGAGGGAGGGAGTGAGCTGTCATTTAGCAGTGTGACTATGCCCACACGTGTGACTCTATAGTCACATGGGCTACACAGATGTAATAGGGAGGACATGCTCAGCATAGAAACTCACTGAAAACTGAGCATGTGCAGAGTTGCCTCTACAGCTGCACATTCCTTAGCTGAATTGGGGTCATGAACAGAAGATGGAGACGGAGAGCAGCAGGATCAACCAGGTTTTTTGCAGAATACAGAAAATTAATCTCATAGTGGCTGAGTGAGTATGAACAACATGTAATACAGTATTTATTTATAGTTTTTATGTCTGCACCTTTCCATGACATGTTTTAAAAAGGGAGTCCAATGTCAATTTTTAGTGTTCTTTTTATTGTAAACAGCCAATTAAAACATAGCATTCTGTGTCATACAAACAGTTATGCTCACAGTGTACAGTTACAGTTTTCAGAATTTTTATGTACATCAATAAAAATAACTGACTAGTTTGAAAGATGTCATGACAGAATTCAATCATCACTGTATAAAATTTTTTGTCGGACAAGAGCACAGAACAATACAAGAGCCAAACAATGCATGTGAATGCCCTTTTTGAGTGGAAGGGTTGTCTTTCCATTGGAACCAGGCATGGACCAGGCATGCCAATTCATTCTGACCTTAATATTTATTGACCTTAGTAAAACAGGGTCTGGTGTTCATTAATACACCAAGGCTGCTTTTTCTTTCCCAATCAAAAACTGTGTAAAACAATCACTTAACAGAAACACCCAGTCATGAACTGCTCTGGTGACCAGGTCCTTGGTGCTTTGGCATTCCTGTCCAACAAATTCTGAGATCACCCAAAAAATTAATATTAAAATTTAATATATTTCTAACAATGATAAAATATACATTTGTCTTCAGTCCTAAAATGGTAATAGCTTCCATGTTCTCAGTAGTATCAGCAGGATCTGAAAACCATGACCTGAAAACTATGACCTCTCAGAGTTCAGTACTTTTTGGGATATACCATACCTCCACTGCATCATATATTAATATACATAAATGGACTTAATGCATGAAAAATTGAGTGATGAGAACATGTTGCTTAAAGCAATCAGAAGATAATTCTACAGTCTTGGCCGTGTTTATCATTAAGCACAGTAGGCCTTTAGGCAACAAAGGAAAGGAGGCAGTTTTTTTTTTCCTGTGCAGTCATCTCCAACAGTCATCTACTATAAATAATGTATACATAGTAACAATATTCCATGCCAGTCTGGGACCAGTAAATCAAGATAATGTTTTGTGTAAAAGATGTGATGCTAGCAGATGAGTGATACTTTGGGCACTAAAAGTTGATTGCCTACAGGCTCTAGTATATCCAGCCCTGGGTGCAATAAAATTGCATTTTACTTAAAAAAAAAATGAAAATCCCCTTTGACAAGAAAAATAACAGAATTTTTTTCATTACTTCATTTACAATTATTACATCAACAAGTCAAATTTCCAATTGAAAAAATAAAAGTAATTTAAAATAACTTACTATTTTAAAGTACTTTTTTAGAATGATTTCATCCAAACAGTTCTGCCAGCTTTGATTAAAAGGGGGCAAAGAGGTATAATTTTAGGGGAAAAAAGATGGACATTTGCAAATAGTTCAGTTGGTAGGGTGGTTTTCTTTATATTTAGAATTGTCTTTAACGTCTGATTTCTTTAGGGCAATACTTTCCAGAGAATTGGCTTGGATCCTGATTGTAGCCATGTTTTACAAATTCTGGGCATAGTTTTATTCAATAAGCTGAAGAAATAGTAAGAGTATTTAAGTATGTAAAAATAAATATATTTAAATGAGAGAATAATACAGTGAAAAGTGCTCAAAGTAAAGAGGCATGTTTTACATTAATACTATTCATGTATCCTTACTGCTATAAATGTGTAGTAGCATTGTAATAGATCTGTCATAGTCCAGTCTGAAACATGTATCAGCCAAGCTCATGGATTGGGAGGTATTTTCTCTGGTTGGCTTGCCTTACCAAACAAATCTCCCCATTCATCGCTATTAATATTAATAATAATATGCACTTCCACTAATGAACAGATCTAATTTATAATAAACAATAGAAAAATATATAAAAAAATGTCCAGAATGTTTGGGAAATTATTTATATTTGTTATGACTGATGTTGAGGTTTTGTCACATTTGCAGAACTCTTTGTCATCCCATCTGATCTATATATTCACAGACTGATCTGCTTCACTTTTCCGAGGGCTTTCAGCGGACATAGGACTGGAAGCTGTGCAGCATGTAAATTAGAGATGTCAAGAAAGCAAAGAACTAGAATAAAAAAAGAAAACAAAGTTATAATCGATTAAATGTATAATTAAGAATTATAATTAATTTATCAATCCAGCTGAATTTTCTCCTAAAGTCCAGCTGTAGGCTGCTAGTATATTTACCCAAGCAGTATGGGTTAAATCAGTGTTTCTCAACCTTCTTTCAGTCAAGGCACCCTTTAAAAGTATGGACAGTCCTGAGGTACACTTTAAAATTATGGAAAGTCTTGAGGCACCCTATTCTAAAATTTGAAAAACTGTTCTAATAGTTTTATATAACGCTGCAACATCCACACATGTAGGACTCCCAATATTAGAGGTGATTTATTCTTCCAAAGCAAATAGACTTTTGCACACTGGTACTGACTAGTATTCCAATGTTTCTCTTCTCACTCAGTTTTTCTCCATCACTCAGCTAATGTGATCCCAGCACTGATGGAGAGGGGCAGGGGAGGGTAAAACTAGGATGGTGTGCAGGCAACTGACATCCTCCTTATCAACTGATGATGTTATTGGTTGTCAGGACACTGGCAGTTAAAAGGTCGTAATGGTGCACAATGAAAACCTGTGGCTTTGTGTAACTAAAAGGCAGGAGTGTTCCACCCACTGGCTTTTATACAAGTTTTGGGCAATTTTTTTAAATTTTACCAAGACACCCCTGAAGAAACCTCCAGGCACCCCAGGGTGCCTAGGCACCCTGGTTGAGAAAGGCTGGATTAAATGATTGTTTGGCTAGAGGAGATAAATATAATGTGAAATATTTATCATATTCCTCACTCCTGCAGGCTTCTTCCTCTCCATGTGACCATCTCCTGAAGCTGCATCACTTTACTGCTTGGCCAGTCGCAGCTTTCTGACTTCATAATTGCTGGTCCTGCATTGTATGGGAGGAAGGTGAGGGCCCTCCTACATTTTAAAGCAGTGGAGGAAAGAGGCAGCTGTGTGGGAGAGAAGAATAAGGTATTATTCCACCCCCCAGCCAAACAAGAATTTTGCCTACACAGTGTAAGGGGGCATCCCACTGTCTGGTGTCGGAGATTAATTTTAGCTAAGCTGTGTCTTGAAATAGGTGCAAGGTGTATCAAGGCCACTGTATCCATGGTCAAAATGCCAGCTATTTTCTGCTTTTAAAACTTTTTTTTCTAAGCAGGTGAATAAGTCAGCCATTTATAACTCAGAATAAGTGACGTTTTGCAGATATCTATGACTTAATTTACCTCTCTTTCCCCAAAAGACTGGATCTGCATCGCCACAATAGGCCATGGCCTAGACTGGCAAGATTCCAGGGGAACAAAGCCACCCACACATCATCCTGCTACAGTGATACAAACTTGCCACTGTGTCCTCATTCAAGAAGATGTGTGTGTTTTTGTTAATAGAAAAGCATTGATACAGTTCACTCACTTTGAGCTGGTACACCTAGAACCAAACTACTAGCAGAACAGTTGTTCTTTCAGTTTTTCAGTTCTTGATGTACTGATATGGAGTGAGTATACTGTGTCACCCTTTTACTCCTGCTTTGGCATGACTTGTGAGGCTGCAACATCCAGTTGTGTTAGTGTGACACAGGGCCAGCTAGATGAGTGAAGTAGAAAGAGAAATGGCAGAAGACAGTTGGTCTAGTGGATAGGAAGTATAAATGTGGTCCTGTTCCCACAGTCTTTCTTCTACAATCTACACCTCTGTGGTGGAAAGCATTTCCCTCCACCCTCTCATTCTATCCTGGAAATGAGCTACCCAGTAACTGTGGGCAACTGAGAATGTTCTACTGTATACAATATGCCCACTGGTCAGACCCATCACAATATAAGCAGCTTGTCTGGCAATACCACTGCATTCCACTCAACTGGGCTGCTGTATGAAAGTAATGGATATTTTATCTCAGACTTGAAGGCACATTGTGAAAGAAAGATAGGTAGAAAATATCGTAGGACACTTCACATACTGTATGTTTCCATGAACTGCTCCATCAATGGCCATCATAGTTGAACTACCTATCATAGCAATGCAGGGGGATAACAATTGTTAATTGTGAAGCTGAAATTTTCTTTACAGTGATGGAGCCCCCAAAGATCCTAGGTATGCTAAAAATATGATATTTGCATAGACATGCCCCCCAAGTGGCAGTGACCAGATCATAGATCTCAGGCACCAAGCACTGATTTAGCAGAGGAGTACCTATTCTTCCTTTTCCTGGAAGTGTGCAGTCATCAAAGAATGTCAGACTGTCATGGATGATGGGGTCCCAGCAACCTTGGTTCAGTCCAGCAACCACAGATTAACAGTTTAAACGCTGGACAGATTAACTGGAAGTATGCATATAATTTCCATAGGGTCTGGGGTAAATTATTCATAAGAAGTACACATAACAATTGATTGTCTCACCACTTCCCAGTGTCTTTCTAACATTTCCACTCTATTATTACTTTAGTCAAGCTTGTAAATATGTTGCCTATTTAGTTGTAAAAGTGTCATGGCCAAATGTTCTCATGTCAACTTTGCTTCATATGCTAACAGTACTTTTTTTGGGTTTAAAATTCTGTTGGCACAAGCCACCTACATACAGTCAGGTCCATAAATATTGGGACATCGACACAATTCTAAAATTTTTGGCTCTATACACCACCACAATGGATTTGAAATGAAACGAACAAGATGTGCTTTAACTGCAGACTGTCAGCTTTAATTTGAGGGTATTTACATCCAAATCAGGTGAACGGTGTAGGAATGACAACAGTTTGCACATGTGCCTCCCACTTGTTAAGGGACCAAAAGTAATGGGACAGAATAATAATCATAAATCAAACTTTCACTTTTTAATACTTGGTTGCAAATCCTTTGCAGTCAATTACAGCCTGAAGTCTGGAACGCATAGACATCACCAGACGCTGGGTTTCATCCCTGGTGATGCTCTGCCAGGCCTCTACTGCAACTGTCTTCAGTTCCTGCTTGTTCTTGGGGCATTTTCCCTTCAGTTTTGTCTTCAGCAAGTGAAATGCATGCTCAATCGGATTCAGGTCAGGTGATTGACTTGGCCATTGCATAACATTGCACTCTTTCCCTTAAAAAAACTCTTTGGTTGCTTTTGCAGAATGCTTTGGGTCATTGTCCATCTGCACTGTGAAGCGGCGTCCAATGAGTTGTGAAGCATTTGGCTGAATATGAGCATATAATATTCCCGAAACACTTCACAATTCATCCAGCTGCTTTTGTCAGCAGACACATCATCAATAAATACAAGAGAACCAGTTCCATTGGCAGCCATACATGCCCACGCCATGACACTACCACCACCATGCTTCACTGATGAGGTGGTATGCTTAGGATCATGAGCAGTTCCTTTCCTTCTCCATACTCTTCTCTTCCCATCACTCTGGTACAAGTTGATCTTGGTCTCATCTGTCCATAGGATGTTGTTCCAGAACTGGGAAGGCTTTTTTAGATGTCGTTTGGCAAACTCTAATCTGGCCTTCCTGTTTTTGAGGCTCACCAATGGTTTACATCTTGTGGTGAACCCTCTGTATTCACTCTGGTGAAGTCTTCTCTTGATTGTTGACTTTGACACACATACACCTACCTCCTGGAGAGTGTTCTTAATCTGGGCAACTGTTGTGAAGGGTGTTTTCTTCACCATGGAAAGAATTCTTCGCTCATCCACCACAGTTGTTTTCCGTGGTCTTCCGGGTCTTTTGATGTTGCCAAGCTCACCGGTGCGCTCCTTCTTTTTAAGAATGTTCCAAACAGTTGTTCTGGCCACGCCTAATGTTTTTGCTATCTCTCTGATGGGTTTGTTTTGTTTTTTTTCAGCCTAATGATGGCTTGCTTCACTGATAGTGACAGCTCTTTGGATCTCATCTTGAGAGTTGACAGCAACAGATTCCAAATGCAAATAGCACACTTGAAATGAACTCTGGACCTTTTATCTGCTCATTGTAATTGGGATAATGAGGGAATAACACAGACCTGGCCATGGAACAGCTGAGAAGCTAATTGTCCCATTACTTTTGGTCCCTTTAGAAGTGGGAGGCACATATGCAAACTGTTGTCATTCCTACACCGTTCACCTGATTTGGATGTAAATACCCTCAAATTAAAGCTGGCAGTCTGCAGTTAAAGCACATCTTGTTCGTTTCATTTCAAATCCATTGTGGTGGTGTATAGAGCCACAAATGTTAGAATTGTGTAGATGTCCCAATATTTATGGACCTGACTGTATGTAAGTGAGCAAGGTAAGATTTTTCATATAACATCTCTGGTGAATGGCCAGATTGCCTGCCTGCCATAGTGGTTCATGTGTGTGACTACAGATGTGGTCAAGATGACCACAGATATAGACCAGTTCTGACCTTGCTGGATGTCTTATTTTAGGGCTATACATTCTAGAAAGCAAGGCATAATCCCTAAGGTCCCAAAATTACTTCAGTAGTGAATGTGGTAACAGTACCACTGAAAAAATAGACAAAACTAAGATAGAAGCACATCAGTGTGACTTACTGTGGCTGCAGCATCCAAGTGGTAGTAGACAGGACTGCACTGACGAACTTCGAAGATATTAGGGATAGGTACAGGTATAGTGTAATCACAAAATATTGTGGCATAAGCTTGCAGCACAGCAGCACTCAAGTAAAATATCGCTGTAATTCCAGTGTAGATGACGTCCTAATGAGAAAAATTTAGACATTAGGGTGCACATCAGTTAGATCAACACGTTTAAAACAAGGATGCATATACATGATTTTTACATTTCAGAAATTGAGAACTTGTCATGCATTAACAGAAGATAAACAGAGACATGTAGTACCCTGTAATGGGACAGAGTACAAACCACCAGCTGAACATGTGGCACCTACCTACAGCAGCCAGCATGCATTCAGTTCATCTCCTAGAGTGCCCGAGTCTCAGAATGACCTGTTATGCTAGTATTGACTTCCAACTAATAGGCTGGCATTAGGGCCCACCTTCTCCTGTCTTCTGTCCTCAGGGACCACCCACCATAATCAGCAGCTAGTAGTGAGGCATAGGAGGCAAGAGGGGGTCAAAGTGGCAGCTTTCTGGTAGGAGGTATTTACATAATAAAATGTCCTAGGTCTTAGGGTTCTACGCACTCTGGACAAGAACCGACAAGAACATTATTTTATAGGCCAGTAGCAAATGACGTTCTGCTTCCATTTTGTAGTACTTAACCCAAGAATAGGTTTACGTTAGCTTCTCAAGAAATGATTTTATGCAAAGCTCTAACTGTGGATACTGTGGTGCAGAATATGCTACTGGAACTAATGGTGCTTGTAACACTACTGTAAATCTCAAAACTGATCACCTAGGACAAGTGCATTATGGGTAAAGGCCCCTGACATATCTATGAGAATGTGCTTAGTGATAATGCTTTCTTTGATGGAAGTAACAGTTTGGCACAATTATGTTTTGATTTAAGCGCTCTGTAAGTTTTGTATTATCTTTCCATGTTTAGAGCTGTCAGATCCCAGCTGGTGCAGCTGAGAAAGTAACCAATTGAGTGATGTGTGTACTTGATGTGGTTGAGGGGAGCACAGAGGAGGCAGTCCAAGAAACTCCTGATGCCTCTGTAAAGAGGACCTGTCAATCCATATATGTTATCACATAGAGGGCTCGTCAGCCAATAAAGTTAAGTGAAAAAAATAAAAATAGTTTAATAAATTAAAATTAAAAAAAAAAGAAAGTGCCTCACATGCATGCACATAAAAGCACAAACACCAGTGTATGGTGAACACAGCTATGTAAGCCATCAATGCACAGTACTTAATGAGGTGGCTCTTTGTCAGCTGCATACCTACTAGCTATAAAAATACAAAAAATAGTGCAGTGCTGCACAATTTTTTTTGTATTTTTATGTTCTTTCCTTGTGGTTGAGGCAAGTGTGTGCTGCTTATTAATAGGTGTTCCATTGAGCGCAGGAGTTTTTTTTTCATTATCTAGTAGATACCTACTAGCTACTCACAAAAGATTAAACACTGAGTGGTATAAGGAAATTGCTCTACCATAGGGTGCAGCTATTACAACAATCAATGCATCACGATAGAAACAATCATTGAGAAAAAAAAGCTCAAATAGACTGATATAATGGTAAATATAGAAAATACAACACAATAAAAAATAAAAAAGGGATACACAGATACATTTTTTGTATCTGTGTAGTATGATCTATTAGATATGCATTGATCAACAAAAAGCGCCTTCATAAATACTAAGAGTGCATATTTTCAAAAACTCATAAGTTTATATAGCATGAGATCAAACACTCAGGGCAATCGAGGATGAGAAAAAGAAAAAAAGAAAATGGAGAAAAAATGATGTAATACATAATAAATATGATTAAAAAAAATCAAATGTCAAAATTAAAATAAAAACAAAAAGTAAATATTTATAATATAATAATTAATTCTAATGCTTTTGAATTATTTATTGGTATTATTTATTGTCATTATTGTTGATTGATGTTTTTATTATTATGATTATTATTATGTATTATGCCATTTTCTCTCCCTGTTTTCTTTTTTTCTGAGACAGAAACCAGAGCTCTGCTAACCTGAGTGCTGGGTTGCCAGCCAGCTGAAGAGTTAGCCCTCATGCTCACTGGACGTTTTGATAATGCTGGTAACGTTAGGTGTGTAAAGTCATGTTAAATTCGTGAGTTTTTCAGCTTTATTATAGCGTTTTTGCATTAGTATTTAGTGGCTTTTTGCCGCGATTAGCGCTGTTTTAGTTTTTTAGCACTTTTTTTTTACCAAAAAAAAAAATTTGAGGGGATCAAAAAAGGTCCAAAAACGCCAGTTTGCAACATTTTGCCGCGTTTTTTTCAGCATTAGAGCATTTTTTACAGCTAAAAAACTCATCTAGAAACCCACTAGTTCTGGGGGTTTTTTCCAGCCAAAAAACATGATTACAGTCTGTGTGCATGGACACATAGGATAACATGCTGGGGGATTTACTGGCTGTAGAAAAAAATGTCAACAGCCAAAAAAAGCAGCTGTAAAAACGTCAAGTGTGCATGAGGACTTAGGACTAAAGACTATCCTTTTGCAGCTACACAGAGACCTTCACCTATTGCTTAGGCTAAGAGGTACCTGTCAGGGGACATTGCACCATTTCCTATCCATTCTCCTAGAGTGGATTCTAGACTTGGTATAGTATTATTATTCACATTGCAGTTAATGCTTATATGCACGGTTTATTGATGACTTTGCTGATTCATCTTTTAAGTCCAGTCTAGTGGTACAGAACTCTATTATAATTTACCTTGGCATAGTGATTATACTGTCTAGGAGACTGTGTCTGAACCTTCCTTCTGTATACTTATTTATGCTCAAACCACTATCCATAGCAATACATTGAGTTCATTTACCACTAGACAGTCTTGTATCTATTTCCTGGTACTAATTCACAACCAAGTTAAAGGTATCTACACTCATGTTTTTATAAGTTCTTTCAGTAACTTTCATCCAACCATGGGTGTCAAAGGGGCTGAGGGTGTTCTTAGAGTTAAGGTGCAGAACAGAGAACCCAAACTACCAAGCAGCTTCTTTGGGGATAGCGCTACACATATGTACATAATGTGAATGATATGACCTTACAGGTTACAAACTTGTCTGCAAGAAGTTGACAGTTGGGAGAATGTAAGACACTGTGAGGTCTTTCAGCTTACGTTTTGGAAGGACTAGGGTATGCAGACAAGTTTTGAAGGACACTTCACACATTAGGACCTCTGCATTGATCTTTCAAGTGGTGTCACATTGCAGATATCCTTCACGTACATTTCATAAATTGTCTAAAGTGGTAGAAAAATAAAAACTCCTTTCCTGTTGATGGTGTTCAAGTTGGGATCCTTGCAGAGTTTTAGTTGAAATTGCTGATGTGGCAACGGGGGTGAATTTCTAAAAGCAAATTCAGTTCATTTTGCAAGATTCATCACTGTTATAAGCAATAACAGTGTAAAAAAAAAAAAACCTGATCACCCCACTTACCCAGAGTAGTACAGAATCACCATGTTTTTTTATTTTTTTTTTTTTATTTTACATACTGTCACCAGTCAGTATCCCTGATCACTGCCATACCATTCATACAATGACGCTGTACTGTACTGGTGACAGTATGCAAAAAAAGAGTGCAAAACATTTTTTAAATTTAATTCCTTAATATTTTTAAAAATTGTGACAAAAACTTGCAAATTCAAAAGACTCACCATGCCTCTTACTAAATACCTTAAACTGTTTATATGCCAAAATGCGGGCATTTTGGGGTTATTTTTTACTATCCTGGCATTCTATGGCCTCAAGAAATGAGATGTGCCATAGTTTGTAGACTCTATTGCTTTCACACAGACTAAATAATATACACTGATTTTGGTTATGTTTAGCAAAGGAATGTAGCAGACTACATTGCAGATTTATAGATTTATGAACCCTTTGCACGAATACTTCAGAATGCCATAACAAGTGAAATGACAAGAGTAAGTGAAATTTCTTACGATTATTCTCCAAGTGTTGCAATGGTTTCTGTGGAAGCCAAACAGGTAGACCATCAAGAGTAGCAATGAGAAGAAAAATGAGGACACTGCAACATACATGACCCATCCTTGCACGATTGGATAAAATACTTTTGTAGCAGCAACCAGGATCCAAACCCATGCTCCAAACATCTGCAAATAAAGTTAAGAGATAATTATGATAAAATAAACTATAAAGTGCTAAATATTTACAGACATGTGTAGAAAAGCACAATTTAAAAAAATGCACAGGATTATATGAAATTTGTAAAAAGAAAAAAAAAAGCTATTCAATTTTGCAATCATTTATTCATTACCAAAATAGTAAATGATGATCAATAAACCATTAGTTCTTATTCACACATGTGCTGTGAGGATTGAAGTTCAGGTTTCACAGCTAATTGATACAGTAGTTGTTCAGCGGTTCAGGTCAGGTTTACATCAGGTTCAGGACAGGTCCAGGTCAGGATTTTATCTTGTTCACACATGTGCGGTTTAGAAACGGTTCCCATAGAAGTTAATAACCTGTAATCCGCCCCTGAACCGGACTGCACTGCTCAGAAATCGGGCATGACTCTTTTTCAATTTGCACTGAATCTGCAATGCTAGTGCACCGGACACATGTGAACAGACACTATAGGAAACAATGTTATTTCACATGTCATGCTGGTTGGATGCAGTTTAAACCACATCCAATCCACATATATGTGAACTGGCACTTAGTTCTGAAGGCACACGCTAAACTATTATTAAGGATTTATAAGTGGCGTTCCTAGCAAAATATATCTGGGGATCAGTTCAATTTATCTAAAAGATTGCACAGTATTATATCTGAGGGAAACTGATAGGGAAGTGTCCTATAATATTCAAGTATGCTGTGTATACTTGAAGGCAAAAGCTCACCGACACGCAAAGGGGAATGGCCTTACCACAAAAACAAGCCTGCTTTCTTTATGCTAAAATAATAATAAATGGTAAGCTCTTCCTGATAAAAAGTATTATGTATTCCTTGATCATTTGTTATCCCTTTAAACATTTTAGATAAACGGAAGGCAATTTTTTTTTTTTTTTTTTTAGGTACGCATAATATGATTAAGAGTAAAACCAACTGGCAGTTATTGAGTTCTGTGTCTTAATTTCCTGTATTAACGACAAAAAGAAAGTAAGAAGAATTAAAAGCCTGACAAGCTCTTCCCCACTGTAATTAAAAAGTGCTTTTTTTTTGTTCTCTGTGTCCCTGTTGAAGCAAGAAAACCCAACAGTGGGCAGAATCATGTTTTAATATCTTTTTTTTATTTTTACACAGTATACTTTAAAATTATTTTCCTAAAAAATTGAGGGATAAACAAAAAATGAACATTTCCATGAAGCTCAATCTTAAAAACACTTGTCCTTGTTAAGTCAAACAAGTCTTTGGTCATACAGTTAGCCCCTTTTTTGACTATAGAACCTTTAACAGGCTCATGTACATAAAATGTATTTGTGTTTTAGCTGTTTTCTCCCCTCTACAAGTCAATGGGGAAATTACAATCAACTCAACGCAATTCTTTGAGAAAAAAAAAAGAACGCAAGCCAAAATAAAATAACAAGCCATTTTCTCCTGAAATTAAGCAAAACATACTGTAAATAATGTTACTTGTTTCTGAGGGTGAAGACGTTGTACATTATTTATTATAAGGAATCCTCCACTAGCCAATAAATGGTTTTATTTTATTATCATGTTTGGTTTCTATAAATGACTGCTACAACGCAGTACTTTAGTATTAATGTAATCCTTGATTGATGATCAGCCAAAGAAAAAAAAATAGTGACGTACTCATGAGATTTTATCACGTTGCTATAAATATTTCTGATTTCATGTGTGTTTTTGGGTGTGAGAAGGTGTGCCTGTAAATTGCTCATTTAGGGTGTGAACTTACTGAAATATTTATTGAGGAGCAAAAGGCAAAGACAGAGCAGAAAAGGTGAGCATCGTAGTATGGCAGAGGTGGTCAAAGTGTATTTTAGATTAACCCCAAGTCAAGACCGTGCATTCCCATTCTATTCCCAGATATGATATAATGTCAGCTGGGATCTACTTTCATGATCTTACATGAACATACTACACTTTTGGACCAAAGTATGTAAGCAAAGGACAAACCCTTGCCACCTCCTGAGAATGTATATGCTTTTCCTTTTATACTGGCTTTTCAAAACAAAAAATGCATTCATATACAGGTTATATAAAGGCTATAGTGTAATATTACACTTTCAGTAGTTAAAAAAACTGTTTTTATAGAGGTCAATACATTATACTGTAAGAATAATAGGTATACATGAGAAGGAAAGAGGGACAAGGTGATGTAGAGGGATTGCCCATCTACGGTATATTAGGGGGCATTCAGGAGTTATGCACAGTTGTAATATCCACACAAAGTTCTGTATATTTTTACGTTTCCTATAACCTCTGCCTACAGGAAGGAGGCATTAGAAGCCCTTACTATATAATGACCCAAAGAGGTAGATTTACTAAAACTGGTGTACACAGAATCTGGTGTAGCTGTGCATAGTAACCAATCAGTTTCTCACTTCAGCTTGCTCAATTAAGCTTTGACAATACAACCTAGAAGCTGATTGGTTATTATGCACTGCTGCACCAGATTCTGTGTGCACCACTTTTAGGCTAGGTTCACATCTGTGCGGGTGGTGCCGCTGTGGATCTGCACGGAAATCCATGCAGCCGCACCACCCGCACAGAGAAATGTGGACCCGCGGGTGGGTGCCATTAATTTTAATGGCATGCCGCCCGCACTGGAAAACACAACCGTACTGGGAACCGAGGTTCCCGTGCGGGCTGCGTTTTCAGAAGTGCAGGGCCTTCCCTGAGTGTCAGAGGGGCACGGGGGTCCATTCAAATGAATGGGCCCTCATGCCCTTGCAATATGCGGCCCGCATGCCCGCATATATGTGAACCAGGGCTCAGTAAATCTCCCCCAGTACTTCTACCTGACTCCTAAGTGCAGGGAAACAGCAGCATTCCCTGCAGTACTTACACCTACAGTACTATCCATGTTACGTCAGAAACCAATCTAACCAAAGGGCTTTACTTAAAAACATAACACAATTAATATGGACATTAAAAATAAAACCTGAAACTGTCAATTACCAATTATCATTTTAGCTTTTTTATTACAACTACATTGGGGTGTATTTGTAGAAAAAATGGCAGAGCTATCCATCTTGCAAAACTGCATGTACATGTGTTCTGTGTGAATGCTGGCGAAAATGAATGTTACCAAGCTATTTTCTCTCCAGGTCAGATGTTCGTCATTCATAAGCATAGCGTGAATTAGTAAAATATTGTATTATGGCCACTAGATGGAACTGATGATCATTGGAAATAAATACTCATTGTGATTGTGAGATCAACCAAGAGGGCATCGTGTCGTATGTTCCTGATTCACACTATGCTAAGGAATGAAGAAAATTGTAGAGAAAATTGCCTTGTAGCATTTGATTTTGCTGGCATTCACACAGAACGAATGTACTTGCTGTTTCCCAGGACAAATAGCTCAGCTATTATTTTAAAAATATATCCCTAAGTGATGTTTGATTAGCAGTCACAAATTAGACCATATCAGACACACAATTACACACATATTGAAAATACATACATGTGTGTCATCACTACAGTAGCACCGATATATCCCGCAAGTCAACATTTGTTTTTAAACATGAACAAAATTAAAGCCTAAAAAGTGACTCAGCAATTAGATAAAATAGTGTATCGGTATGCTTTATATTTATCATATGAAACAATATTGGCTGCTTTGTGGGCTCCTGGTCTATCCTTACACTAAACAATTTTCTTACAATTTTCTGTCCAATTTCTGCCCAATTTATTTTAAATTTACCTTCAACTATGTAGTGCAAGGGCCTGCCTATTTGGATACAATTGAAAGTGTTGTTTAGATTTGACCTCATATTATATGGTTTTTGGTAAATCTAAAGCAACATTCTCAAGACAATTGTATAATGTATGGGCCAGTCTTAGAAAATGTGTGTCTGTCCATGAATAAGTTAATTTAGTATACTATATTTTTTTGGTTTCTGAGTGATTCAAAACACAGTTTAAAGCAGCACTACCTATTCAAAATAAACTTTAGCTGAAATGTAATTTTTAATGAAGTGAGAGCCATCATATTAATAAAAGTTGTCATGGGAGGAGAAAGCAGTGTAAAATGATTGTTAAAAGTGGAGAGGCTGGAATAGGAGGATAAGAGGGAGGTGATCATAGGCCTGGTTAAAAATTATTTCATAAATGATTTATAGTTCTCTTCTACACTTTGATTAAACAATTAAAGTAAACCTATCACTTTACTAATTCAAAGCAACAGGTATTCTATACAAGCCTTCCACCTCTGCTACTGATACTTACCTGCCCCATGCTTCCTGTGTAAGCTCGGTGATGGAGCTTACACAAAACAAAGGACCTTCCTGCCCACCTCCACATGACAGTATTTGATTAATGATTGGCCACCCAGGTGCCCTCACTAGATTGTAAGAGTAAGGAAGAAGGTAACATGTCTCTCCATGCTCAAAATTATGGAAGTACCAAGTATTTTACTAGGCTCTAGCTGACCAAAGAGGTGATAGAAGAGCACAATAAAGATAAATAACAATGACAGAGAAGGCAGCGTATGAGGTAAACCGGTTGCATCTCCCTTAATGGGCAATGTGGCAGGTTTACTTTAAACAAAGGTTTGTACCAATCACTTGTCAGTAAATATTGATTAATATATATGATTATGTTGATAATGTATATATGGTGGACAGAGTGGGGAAGGTGGTGTCTTTTTCTTCTCCTTTTTGGTACATATGCTTTTTGGTGACACCCATCCACCTATACTGTGGATAGCACTGCCACATGCTTAATTGGTGGGATTCCCAAGATTTTTTGTTTTATTAGGCACTGCTACTGATACTTACCTACCCCATGCTTCCTGTGTAAGCTCAGTGATGGAGCTTACACAGAACAAAGGACCTTCCTGCCCATCTCCACATGACAGAGTTTTGATTGGTGCTTGGCCACCCAGGTGCCCTCACTAGATTGTAAGCGTAAGGAAGAAGGTCACATGTCTCTCCATGCTCAAAATTATGGAAATACCAAGTATTTTACTAGGCTCTAGGTGACCAAAGAGGTGATAGGGGAGCACAATGAAGACAAGTAACAATGACAGAG